AATTTTTATTCGAAAATACATTAAGAAATTAAGAGATTCGAGGAATAGGACGTCAGGGTTTTTGTGATTGTCATTTTCTGAGGCTACAGATGTAACAAAATATTTTCGATACTTCAAACATTAGCAATATAGCAATAAATGAACAAAAAAAAGGCAATCATTTGGTCACTTCACTAGTCGACTACAATTGTCTCGTGCGTGGACAAAACTCATTTGTGTTAGTCATTTCATTTCCATGTATATGATTGCTCGTATTTATGTATGTGTAGGCGGCAATGTAAGTTTGGATTTGTTTTATTGCGTTCTAATCATTCACTTAACTTACGTTCGTCGGCAATCACTGGCTTACGGGTAGTTGGTGGTGGAGCAGGAAGGGTATCGTTTCCATCTGTAATATATCAGAATAAATTGTTTCTGTTTACCTGGGCAATTTTTATATATTTTGTTATATATATATATATAAATATATATATATTGTTTTATATAGTTATATATTTATTGGTTGATAAGTAGAGAGAAGTAAAAAAAATCGAAACACTATAGCTATTTCAAAAATATGTGATGAAACTATCTAAGGCCATGATGAATATTTCTCTACTATTTTAAAGAATAACGAATTTTTTAAGATCATTGAAGGAGTTGAGATCAATGTATGAAGAAGGTTTCCTTCAGGAGATTCAATCAAAAATTTCATCGCGTACACCCACACACAACACACACACACACACACATACAAGCAAACGTATATATTTCTAAGTGGATTAATTATTTCCTGCTGAAGTGGCATGCCGATATTTTATTGCCAAATCGATTAGGTTTTGTCTGGCTAAATTTAAGAAAAAAGATTCAACAACACCAGTTCTCAGTTATATCAATATGTATCAGCATTCTATCACTAAAGATGAAGAGCATATAATATCTCTCGATATGGTGTGATACTGCTTGTGTTTCCTAGATGATTTGTAATCGTTTTAATCTAACTACAAACCCCTAACCAAAACATCGTTCATATAACCCTTCTTTGGGGAGGCAATAAAGGAAGATACCTTCTGAATATTTGCACCTATCCCTAGAAATACTAAAACGGTTGAATATTTTCAACATACCAACACACATACACACAATAATATATAATATATATATATATATATATATATATATATATATATATATATATGCTGGCGGACAGACACTAATATTAATTGCAAGGTTTTTGACAGTATACTGACTTGTCTCACTCTTTACTAGATTGATAATCTAATTTTCTCTTATGATGTGAGTTCCTTACCGTTTGTGTTCTTCGAATATATCTGACCAAAAGGAAACCTTCTTCAGGAAAAAAAAAACTATCTAATTATGGAGTAATTTCTGTCACATCTGTGTAATACTCTAAATACTCGTGAAAAGATCTTTATGAGCATGTTTTTGACATTAGGCAAAGAAATCAATCCTCAAAATTTATCTTGCCAGACATGAAATATTTTGGATTTCAGTCACTTCCTTTTTTCTTTTTTTTTTTAAATGCTATTTTTTTTTTATTAAGGTGGAGATCCCACTGATTATTATAATATTTTCTTGTATTTAGATATCTTAGTGAAAGGGAATGTTTGCTCTTTGAAAACCTTTGTCAGGCAGAACGATTTAATTCGGAATCAACAACCCATATGACAATTCAAATCTGTCACAAAAGAAACAAATTAAAACAAAACAAATAAACAAAAAATAAATAAACAGACGAAATGGTCAAACGTTTGCAGCAAACATCCTTACAAAATAAATTGTCAACACAATTCAGCAGAGCAAAACAAATAAAAAAAAAAATAGAAATATAACAGCGAAACGGAACGGAACAAAACCAAAAAAGATAAATGATGTTTTTTTTTTTTACATATATGAGAAAGATTGCCGAAAAGATCATGGCCAGACCCAGACTCTAAAAAGAGAAAAAAATGTGATTTTGGAGGGAGGGAATTTTATATGATTTTATAGTCAGACAGACAGGTTTTCGGCAATAAATATGAAATATAATATAATATAATATATTATAATATAATATAATATAATATAATATAATATGATATAATATAATATAATATAATATAATATAATATGATATGATATAATATAATATAATATAATATAATATAATATAATATGATATAATATAATATAATATAATATAATATGATATAATATAATACGATATGATATAATATAATATAATATAATATGATATAATATAATATAATATAATATGATATAATATAATATAATAAGACATAATATAATATAATATATAATATAATATAATATTATATAATATAATATGATATAATATAATATGATATAATATAATATAATGTAATATTATATGATATAATATAATATAATGTAATATTATATGATATAATATAATATAATATGATATAATATAATACGATATAGTATAATATAATATAATATGATTTTATATAATATGATATAATATAATATCAATACC